AAAAAAAAAAAAAGAAAAGAAAAAAGAAAGGAAACGAAACGTGAGAAAATTGCAGTAGGAAAAGTCCTAGTAACGCAGTGGTTAACCCTTACCCTACCCTAAACGGAAACATTTATCTCCCTCTCCTTAGTGCCCAGTTTCCCAGAGCGGGATTTTCAAAATGGCGGAAGACTCAGTCGTCTGCGTGAGCTTCGATGGAATATTGGAGCCAGCGAGCCCGTCATTGCAGAATTGTATCAAATTTTCAAAGAGTGGAAGATACTTAAGTGCCTTGTGTGACTTTGGAGTTGTCTCTATTTGCCAGTTGACAGGTACATTAGGAGTAAATTTCGGAAACAAAATTAGAGTTTCCTGAATACGTGACCTCATTAATTGCATCCCGACAAAATGTTGTAGAGTAACCTGGACTTGGCATTGAGGAAGGGTTAGGCCCGAAACGTCTCCTATAAACATCGTTTTTAATTTGGCACTGCGTTATTACTATTTACAACTTTTCAACTGTTCACTGCACGCCACGCAGCAGATTACTGATCCGCACAGTTGAGGCGCATTGGGCTACTGTCCCATCTACGGAGAGTAGCAGCTCTCAAGGTTGCTGGAACTATTTTCTCCCAATTGAATATAGCTTGCTCATGAGTAGGCAAGATGACCCAAATTTATCCTGCACTGTGATTGGCTACCCGAGCAGGCCAGGGGCTACAGTATCTTGCCCACTTGGGGTTGCCCTACACATCGCACAAGGAAACAGTGTGCTATATGTCCTGTAAATCCTTTTTGGACCAATTAAAGCTTGCTTAGTCAAAATGGCGTGATATAATTTTCCCTCTTGGTCCATACACATGCAAAAGAAAAAGATCTTGACTTGCCAAATTGACCAATATTCAGTGGTCTTGACCTTATGCTTTGTCAGTAATCCATATGTGTCACAAATACATTTTTTTTTTACTTTAAATACAAATATATTATGAAGTCCATTAATATAGCTGCATAACCAGGTCTATTTGCTTATCTGAGCCACAAGCTTACAGCTACATACGTTTAGGAACCACTGTGTGACAGATGTAGAATCTGTGCAAGCAACTATGGGTATAACGATTAATTGAATTCTTGATTAATCGTAATTATGAAAGTTTGGTCAATTCACAATTCTTTGATTCCACGTTTCGATTTTGGTTCGATTTTTTGCATACCTTTCCCAGAGTGTTCTCAGTGAGTTATTGTATTGTGAAATCAGAATCCAGAACTCTTTGAAATGTGCACTTTTGATTAGAGAGTAAAGATGTTTACAGTTTGTGTACCATGTTGTGTTGCTTGGTAAAAATGTTGCCCTTCTACCACCCGTTGAGAATTTCTAAATAAGGCAAACCACGTGCGACACCTCCATTGTATCCTCAAATTAAGGGTTTAGATTACATTTGTGTATCATGTTGTAAGAATTAAAAACATTAATATTTTGCATAATCCAATTGAAATAATCAAAATCAAAAGGCAATAATCGAAATTGAATTGAATTACAAGGAATATGAATCGTACAAGCAACCAGGCTGCATGGACATGTTTATTCCAGTTCTTGCTAACAATATTTTTTTCTTATTATTATTCTTTTCTTTTGTTCCATGACATCCTAGAGGTTGGTGAAGACTTCAAGGTAGTCTTAGTTAAAAGACTCACATTTGGCAAAGGTGAACTTCTTGAGGGTCATGCCTGGTCCAGCGATGATCAAATATTTGCTGTAGCTGGATACAAGATTTATCTTTCTAAAGTAAGCATTATTTTGTCACAGAGTATTTTCTCACCCAAGAACCTATTTACCAATATTATTTCTCAATCTTACAGTACTTTCAAATGTTGTATATTCCTTATCAGGTCTGTCAGGGATTTACCAGTCTTTATACCATTCCCTTGTATTACATGCCAAAAGACATTTCCTTAATCTTGACTGATTGTTCTTCTCCACAAAAGGTAAGTGTTCTGTAGATTATTTTACATTAGTTTTAGATTGTAAGGAAAACGACCAATTTTTTAAGTTTGAAAGACATGTTTCGACAGAACTTCTGCCATCTTCCTTAAAATCTTTACATGTCTGCTGCTATCTACACATTAGTTTTAATTAATAATCATCATGCAAAATTTAATTTTTAATTAATAGTTAGCTCCCAGTCTGTGGTAGTCTTTTCAATTTATTTAGTCTTCAACAAAAACTGGAAGAAACAAAAGATATGTTAACATCCGATAAAAATTACTGTATACAGTAATTGCAGTGTATAATTTTGTTATTTTAAGTGGTGTACAAGATGCTGTTTTCTAGACTAAAACTACAAATTTGAACTAAAAATAAAACCAACTTTTGCAGCATGTATATTTTTCTTTTGGATTTTGCAGGTGTATAGTTTAGCTGTTGCTGGTCCAAATGGAGTTGAACTGTATCAAATGGAGATAGGAGACTTTAAAATGATAACTGTAAGTTCACTGCATTAAACAATGCCAAATATAATTGACCACCTTGTGATTGGTCAGTTCAAGTTTAAAATAGCTACATAAAGTCATTCACATGCGTTTTTAGAAAACAACACTCAAGGTAAATCACCTACTGGAAAGAGAGCACTAAATGAACAACTCAAGTACTCAACATGTTTCATTATAGCAAGGCATTTTTGATCTTGACTCCATACTGAAGCTTACTGAAGCTTATGATGTAAAGTGCACTTGATCATTTCATGGAAAGTCCCACTGTATAAAGTTTTAAACTTTTTATTATTACTCAATGCCCTCTTCTTTACATTAGGGTGGTTCCTCATCACTCCATTCAGATCTGGCCATTGCACTGGTTGAATTTTCCCCTGATGAACATTACCTAGCTGTGGTATGGTGTGTTAATATGTAGTTCAATTGCAATTTAAAAGAAAAAAAACTCCTGGATGAATTAAGCACCAGGGAATGAACTACTGACTTCAAATCTTATCGAAAGAACAGTTACACACTTACAATAAATGGTAATGTTGTTATAATATTTAAAAATAATTAGCTTGTTCAATTATTAAAATATAGTTTGTTAATTAAATGAGAAAGTCACTTTAAAAAGCTTACTTTTTCATTTCCACCTATAGTAAGTAAACACTCACCACAAAGTTTCAGCCTCTAAAGTGCCTGCTATCCTGAAAGAAATTCGTCTTGAAAGAAGCCCAAAATTTGACTTCGGAGGCTGCCATTTTGAAAAGTTCTGTACTTGGCAGCCAGGCTGTGTTTATGTGATGTCATTCTGTCCGACTCGAAATTGACGGAAAGCAGAGAAACCTGATTTACTGACTTGGCATCCTTCACAAGGTCAGCAAAATGTATTCTTTTCAACCGATTATCCACTTCACTATCTTCACTGCTATCATTTTCAGGGTTTGGAGCATGTTTGGCTTGAAATACTATGCCACAAGAGCAGCCATTACCCAGAGTGGTAGTTAAAAGGCTTGTCGGAAGCCATCAGAATGAAATCCCTTGGACAGAATGACATCATGAAAATGCAGCCTGGCTGCTGAGTACTGTTTAAAATGGTGGCAACTTTGTCTGATTTTGGGCTTCTTTGGAGATGAATTCAATAAGGAAAACCAGCACTTTAGAGGCTGAAACTTCGTTGGGTGGCTAAACTTAGTGCAAGGTTTTTATTAGCGTCGACCAAAAAATATGTTTTCTGTATTGACCTTCTTGTTTAAAAGCTACAATGTGCAATTCCAGAAAATATCCATGATACATGTACTTCCCCCACAGAAGGGATATTTGGAATTTCTGAGGGGACTGGGAGTTCTGTAAGACCAAAACATTTGAAGAAATGGATGAAGCTTAACTGAAATTTCTGGAGATGGGTTCGGGGGGGACGGGGGGGGGGGGGGGGGGGGAA